GATATTGGTAGTGATGGTGATAGTGGTAATCATGGTGATGGTGGTGGTGATAGTGGTAGTGACAGTGATGGTAGTGATGGTAGTGGTGATGGTGATAGTGGTAGCGATGGTGATGGTGATAGTGGTAGTGATGGTGATGGTGGTGGTGGTGATGGTGACAGTGGTAGTGATGGTGACGGTGGTGGTGATAATGGTAGTGACAGTGATGGTAGTGATGGTAGTGGTGATGGTGATAGTGGTAGTGATGGTGATGGTGACAGTGGTGGTGATGGTGGTGATGATAGTGATGGTGGTGGTGACAATGACAGTGGTAGTGATGGTGGTGGTGATGGCAGTGGTGGCGGTGATAATGACAGTGGTAGCGGTAGTGATGGTGATGGTGCTAGTGGTAGTGATGGTGATGGTGATGGTGGTGGTGATGGTGATAGTGGTAGTGATGGTGATGGTGGTGGTGATAATGGTAGTGACAGTGATGGTAGTGATGGTGATGGTAGTGACAGTGATGGTAGTGGTGATGGTGGTAGTGATGGTGATGGTGGTGGTGGTAGTGATGGTGGTGGTGACAATGACAATGGTAGTGATGGTGATGGTGATGGTGGTGGTGATAATGGTTGTGACAGTGATGGTAGTGATAATGGTGATGGTGGTGATGATAATGATGGTGGTGGTGGCGATGACAGTAGTAGTGATGGTGGTGGTGGCAGTGGTGATACTGGTGGTTGTGGTGGCAGTAGTGGCAACAGTAGCAGTACATTAGTTCATTTTGCACTGCTATAAAGGAATACCTGAGGCTGGCTAATTTACAGGGAGAAGAGGTTTTTTTTGGGCCCACAATTCCACATCCTATACAAACATGGTACTGGCCTCTGCTTCTGGTGAGGGCCTGAGGAAGCTTCCATTCATGGCAGAGGGCAAAGCGGGAGCAGGAGGTCACACAGTGAGGGAGGAGAGGGGAGGAGGCACTAGCACTAATGAGAACTAACAGAGTGAGAACTCATTCATTCCCATGAGACGAGTACCCAGCCATTCATGAGAGATCCCCCCATGACCCAAAACCTCCCACCAGGCCCCCCGCTAACACTGGGGATGATATTTCAACATGAGAGGTAGAGGGGACACACACCTAAACCACAGCAAGTAGTAACTTGTGTGAGAACAAATCCAAGTGCTTATGCGCCAAGCACTGTCCCAAGTGCTTCACACATATTATCTCATTTAATTCTCAGTTAAATCAATGAGATGTAGGTACCATTCTTAGTGTTATTTTACAGAACAGCAGAGCCAGACGGTGCCCTCCCCAGAGGTCTAGGTGCCCCGAGCTCAGAGACTCCAGCACCGGAGCCAGGCCACTCCTCTGAGGTCTCAGTTGCCGCTCCTGGGTACTTCTTCTCAACTTCTAGGCCACACTAGTCCAACCTCTTCACAGGCTGCCCCAGCCCAGGGCAGGAGCTGCCTCCCTCCTCACACCTCTTGTTGCTTTACATTATCTTTGCCTCTCAAACGCTTCGCACTTGTCGGCCATTGTTCATAGTGATTCTTTCTGTTCCGGTGTGGCCTGTCTCCTGCCTGGACTCGGAATGACACAAGGAGGGACACAGCCCCGACAGCTGTGATCCAGCTTGGCTTGGGCTGCTATGCCACTAGTTCCCTTATCCCAGAGGCAGTCCGCCTGTGTTTTTATTGTTGAAAATGCAGGTGAGGCTTGCAGTGAAGGCTTTCACACACAGGTTCTGTGATCAGTGAGATCCACTGCCGCCTTCCCCTCCCACCCCTGGCCTCCCCTCTCTTGGCCAAAGACCTGGCACAGAAAAGGTAACCCCTCTGCATTCCCGCTGCTCTAGGCACCTGCCCAGGCCCCTCTGTCTGGTTTTCATTGTTGGGGTACTTTTGGGTGCTGTGTTGCCTACTCTCGGGGAACAGCTTTTCCTTAGTCCTCCCAGAGTCCCACTTCCACTCTCGCCCTCCCTCTAACCCAGCTTCCACAACACTTGTAGCCGATGCTTTGTTGTGTGGGGTTGAAATGATTTCCTTGTTTCACAGGGAATGGTTTTATTTTCACTGTTTCTTCATACTTTGTTGTTCGGGGGAGATTTCAAGAGAAAGAGTAGAATAAAAATGCTACTCTTCTGCCATCTTTGTGCAGAAACCATGCCAAGTTAACAACTTCCAGCAGGTTCTATACTGGGCCCTGGCTTCCCAGGGGATGGGACCACCTCACTGTGACCTCCTTAGGGCTGAAGCAAAGCCTTAGATGAGTGCAAGAACCACTCCTCGGGGGCAAGGTAGTAAGATGAACACATCAGACTTGCATTTTTAATAACTATTTAGCATATAACAATTTGCCACTTATGGCCTCGCTCAATAAAAAATATACTTGTTATTCCATGTTGTGTGACTAGCACTGAAAGGAAAAAGGAAAAAAAATCCCACCAAAAAGGGAAGGATTCAAGACAAGAAAAAATAAAATGAATGTGCACCGAGAAGCTACAGGGTTCCTGCTCCACCCCCACTCCCTGCTCTAGGCACACCTGGCCCTCCTGAGCAAGAACACAAGGTGAGCTGCCCCACGGCTCCAGTCCCATGACCAAGCACACAAATCACTAAAGGACAGGCCTGGGTCACTCCCCAGGGCAAGGCTCCTTCCAGGGCAGACACGGACCCACCGGGAGAATGGGTTAGACAATGCAGATGCAAAGCTTCATGCTTTACTTCCTACAGACACAGATTTCTATCAAAATCAGTGGAAGAAATACGGGAATACAAGACACCCTGAAATTCTCCAGAGTGGTACAAGCCCAAATTCACCCTTTCTTACACACTCCAAACTCATCCTCTCATGACATTATTCTTTGCCTGCAAATTCTCCCAAGCTCAGCCCTGGGCCTTCCCTCAAGCTGGAACTAACCAGAGGGTCTGTGGCTCTACCCCTAATAAACTTGGTTTTTCACATTAGAATGTCATTAGCATGGGGAGGGAGCCCTCTGCCAGGAAGTAACGTGCAATTAGTACATCCTCTACTGGAAGCTTAACCAGAACCAGTCAAACTCCCATTGTACGCCTGGTTCATCTCACCCATACGTCAGAAGCATGTAAAACACCCCCAAAAGCCTGCTGACTTGCTTTCCCTTTTTCATCCTCTGTCTGGTCTCACTAGTCTACAATTTCTCTCACTGTATTACATTACCCAGTTTTATTTCCACATATTACTCTTGATACCTTTCCCTCCTCCTATACAATACACTCCCCCTTTGATCAATGCACTCACTAGCCTCTGACACACCAGGTGTCCTGCCAACCACAACCTCCCTAGTTCAGTCTTGTAATGTATGTGCTAAATACTACCTCCCCTATTTATCCCACAGGAAATCGAGGCACAGTAGTAACAGTTCCCCAACGGCAAATAGCTAAGCTAGTAAATGGTGAAGTCCTAATTTCAACACAGGTCCCCTGACCCCAAACTACATGAGCTGGATGCATTATGGGTGGGATCCCAAACAGACTCCTTCTGGGCCTGCTAATGCTTCTCTCTCATTCATTGAAGAAATAGTTCTGCTGAGTAGCTGATGGATGTTGAGGCCTGGGAAAGGGCACTGGGAATACAGAGGTGTGTGCTTGGTCCTGCTGTCCGCTGCTGAGTGTCTTTCATGAAGAACCGGTTTCCCACTGTCATGACGGCACCAAGCCTCCCCGAGGCTCCTGCACTCAAGCTCTCAGCCTGTAAGCCCTCGCCTGACTTCTACTGACTTTCACTGAATCCACAAAGAAGCTTTTAGAATCTCTGGAAACGAAGTATTTAAAGTATCTCGTCTACAAGTAAACAATACAAACATTCCCAGGGTCAAAGCTGCTTACTACCTACCTTTAGTGGTGAGAACTTTCGAGGTGACCTCCAGTTTCTCCAGTGGTTCCATTCCAATATTTTCCAACTTAATGATTAGTTGTTGACTTTCTCCATTGTAAAGCTGGACAGATACATTAGTAGATATTTCATCACCAGAAGAAGGTTGCAATGAATGTGCAGATCTAAAATAATAAGAAGAAATTTAAAGAAGAAATAAGGAAGAAGCCAAGGCCATTTTAGAATTACTCACATCAGGCAGAAAAATCGCCATACTCATGCATTTCAGAAACAGAGACTAGGAAATCTTGGCTTCACACATGGAGTTCAGTACCCAGCTATCAGGAATGGAAAGTGAGCCGCCACATGCCTCATGCTTTCCTCATGAGACACGTCCAGGTCTTTGTGTGTCATAAACATGAACACCCTCACTCAGCGTTCATTTCTCATGTGTATGTGAAGCATAAAAATACTTAATTACTAAGTTATGGAGGATAAAAATTAAACAATGAATTGATTCAAATAAACCATGAGGGCATTGTTCTCTCAAAATCTAAAAAATGTCATGCTTAGAAGTGCCTTGGGAAAATCCACAGATTTAAGAGGAAAACGTATACCAACCATTCCAGCTGATAACATGAGAGCTGAGGTCAAAGAGAAACGAGAAGCTGTCCCACAGACCCCTTCCTACAGGTACAAACTGTGAGGAATGCCCACCAACACCTGGTGTCACACAAGGGCAGCTGGGCCAGGCCCTGGGGTCAGGCAGTATCTGTGGGGCTCCATCCTCACACCAGTCAGGTGAGGCCCTGGACTACAGGACAGGCCAATGCAGCCAAGCCAGACGAACGTGCAGCGCAGAGGCCAGGGCCTCCCTGAGGCTCCTGCACTCAAGCTGTCAGCCTGTAAGCCCTCGCCTGACTTCTACTGACTTTAGCTGAATCCACAACGTTAACTGTCCTGGTTGTGTCCTTCCCACCCCACAGGCTGCAAACAGTGGGTTGGGAAGGAGGTCACTGGTGATCACAGAGAAAATATATCTGGTAGCACAATGGGGACAAATACCAGTGGACGACAAATAGAGGCACGTGACAGGTGAGGTTAAACACACACATGGCTCCCTGGAGAAGTCTGGCCACAAAACAAAGGGGCAGCCAGAGGAGGTGGCTACAGCGGGGAGGCCGACATGTTCTCCTGGGGCCTGAAGGTTTCCTGAGTACCCCACTACCTTCTTCCTGTCCCTAAAGGATTTCCACAGAGACACACAATTAGTCCAACATACTTGAGCCAACATCGTGTGCTTAGTGCAACGAGAAACGGCTCATGAAGTCAACTAAGCGGACTGCGGACCACCCCACCCCAGACACTCTCCAGCAGTCTTTCCCATGCCCAGCTCCTCCCGGCCCTGCTCCCGGTCACAGCGCACAGGATCGGAGTTGGATCTGCTTCCCATGCCATGGGAGCACTTGGTGTCACACACTACTTGGTCCGAAGGACAGAAAAGAATGTTCCAGACTCACATCTCTGCCATCCAAGGGAAGAAATGCTGTTTAACACAAGTCAAGCTCATAGCGCTGGGCACGTGTTTCCTGGGGGCTTCCAGATGCACACTCTGACAGAGGAGCTTCTGCATCCAAACCAAATCTTGGTGAAATAATTGCATCATAAATCAAGGTGAGCTCCTTGGAATTTAAGTATCTTTAATGCTCATGAGTCAAGAAATAAACTTCCTCTGTCAAGGAAGGAAAATTGGATTTGTGTCCTTACCATAAAGGGCTTCTTCCCATCTTTTAGCAGGCAGCCTTTCTCAAGCAAGTTTGTAGTCAATATGGATTTGCAGAGAAGGTATCAGGAAAAAAATAAAACATGGCCAAGACTCAGGATTTTGTGTCTCAAACAACAGGATTTTGAGACAAAACAAAACAATGCTTGACCGGAAAGTCACAGGGCCTGGGCCTGACACAGGCCCTGACGGTCCCAGCTGCAGCGTCCCAGTTGTCATGAGCAGTGGAGCTTGGGTGGGACTTGGGCTGGCACTGAAAAGGAGGTGAGTCCTAAACAGGCCACGGCACTAAAGAGATGGCAGCAGGAACCCCACTCCAGCCAAGGTCAGGCCCCCAGGGAGGGGCTGCAGAGGTTGGGCAAAGGTCAGGTCCAGTCTCCTAGGAGGAGATGGGGACCAGGAGCTTCTTGGCAGAGAGAAACTCCAATGTGGGACTATGGGCAAACTGTGGGAGGTAGGAGTAAGGTCTATGCCAACGAGACTCTCTTGTTTAAGGAGATGGCCCCTAATATGTGGTCTGTGTCAGATGAGTCAGCCCCTGGGTCTGAGCAGCAGAGGAACTGCAAGGGGGAATCACCAGTGTCTGAAGCTTGGCACGCCTGTGTCCCCCGAGCACCCTGTGGGCTCAGCTGCCCTTCCTGTAGCTCTGCCCTCCCCACCCCTGCACTGGACCAAAAGTTTTTTGTTTTTTTTTTTTGAGATAGTCTCGCTCTGTCACTCATGCTGGAGCACGGTGGTGCAATCTCCACTCATAGCAAGCTCCACCTCCCAGGTTCAAGCAATTCTCCTGCCTCAGCCTCCCGAGTAGCTAGGATTACAGGCTCATGCCACCAGGCCCAGCTAATTTTTTTGTATTTTTAGTAGAGGTGGAATTTGGCCACGTTGGCCAGGCTGGTCTCGAACTCCTGACCTCAGGTGATCCGCCTGCCTCGGCCTCCCAAAGTGCTAGGATTACAGGCGTGAGCCACCGCGCCCAGCCGTGACAGTATTTTTATCTCTGCATTATCAGCTCCTACCTAGCCAGGTACCTGGCACACAGCAGGTACTCGCTAAGTATGTATTGAATAAATAAATAAGCATCTCAAACTTGAACCACTGTGCGACACAGAAAAGCACCCTAGCAATAATCAAAATGGGCCTGGGACAGAGTGGCCTGCTGCACACTTCACGGCTGCCTCCCGGTGAGCCTCACCCTGTGCAGTGGTCTCTGCATGGCTGCCTGGCCATGGAGAAGGCGGGACAACGCATTTCCACAGCAGACACCATCAGGCCACCTGCTCCTGACCTCGGTCCTCGTCACTGTCAGTGCTCAAGGCACCACTCCCGCCAGGCTCCATCTGGGCGCCTCCGACTCCCACCCTGGAATGCTCTCTGCCGCGTCCCACCAGCTCTGCTCCTCTGCGTATCTCCTCGGCAGAGGCCTTTCCTGCAAAGCAGGCCTCACCATCTGACGCTGCTTCACAAAGTGACCTGCCTTCTGTCTCTGAAGGCCTGCCTCTTCTGGACATCTCATCTCATCTGACCCGCTGTGTTTTCGTCACAGCACGGAATTCTCCTGCACCACGGTCTATATTTGTTGGATTGGTTGACTCATTCCCTCTGCGTTTTCTTCCACGCTTGATTATCTGCCCAAGTGTTGTGGGTCTTGTCAGGCTCAGTAGAATACCACATCTTCTATGAAGCCTTCCGAACCCCAAAGACAGGGTCAACCTCTGCTTTGTTTTTATATGACAGGGTCAGTCAGCAAATTCGACTCTAGTTAGTCTGAGTACCTCCTTCCAGACTGTGAACTCATACAAGGGGAGCAGCCTAGGTTGAGGGCATTTTTTATTCATTGCATTTTTTATTAATTGCTAGTCCTATAGCACAGGGCCTAAAGCACATGGTAGGTGTCGATAAATGTTTGTGAGTAAATTTAATGACTAAGTCACTGGAATGTTCATATTAGATTAATTACAATCAAAACTCAAAGAATAATCACATTTTATTTCAGGAAGTCACCTTAGAAAAATATATACATTATATACAATTTTTTAAAATAAGAAATAAAAAACAAACATTTTAACTCCAAATCGGTTCCACTGGACCCTCTCCTCCAGCCCCTGGTCCTCAGCAGGACCTGCTGGGATCCACATTCCTCCCTAGGGCCCAGGCTCAGTGCCGTGGTGGCCGCCCACAGCGGCACATCTTCTTGTTGAGAGGTAGCAGGTACCAGAGCATGCATGCACCCCCGTCACAGCGCATCCACGGGACAATAAAAATGGGGGGTCAGAGGCATTATCTTTGGAAACGATTCTAAACACAGGAGAAAAATGTGGGGTGGGCAAAGAGAAGCAGCTAGAGGACCTGCTTTCTTCACTGCCTTTTACAGCTTGCAGGGACCTTCGGGGAGGCCTTATTAGCAGGACAAATGACAAAGTTAAAGTACCTCTTCTCAAGTTATTTTTCCCTTTTGGTAATAGCTGCCCTTAGCATTTCTTCGCCTTCAGCCACCCCCTGCCCTTTTGCTGGAGCGCTGGCTGGGGCTCACTAAGCTGGAGCCGGAGCCGCGATCTCCTTTGTGAGCTCTCGGGGCTCACCTCCAGCTTTTGTTGGGCGGCTGGTGCTCTGTACAGGCCTGTACGCACGTGCCATGAAACTGTAGCTGAAGCTGCTGTCCTTCCTAGCCTAGCGCCCACTGGCTGCCACAGTTCGACGGACAGCAGTGGCAGAATTCAGCAGCCAAAGCCAGAGCTGGGAGTCTGCGCGTCTGGCTGTTCAAGCTAATGGGCTCAGAAGCATCCAGGCCCGGGAAGTCCTGGTGGCAGGCTCAGCGGAAATCATGTGTCCATCCAACACTGAAGTCTTGCCAAAATTCATCTTTCTAAACAGTGTGTGGAGGTATAAAATCCACCTAGCTTAAGTATGCAATGCAATCATTTTTGGTAAATTTACAAATCACTGATACCCAGTGTTTTCTCGTTTTGTTTTGTTTTGTTTTTGTTTTGAGACGAAGTCTCACTCTTTGTCCCCCAGGCTGGAGTGCAGTGGTGCGATCTCGGCTTTCTGCAACCTCTGCCTCCCAGGTTCAAGTGATTCTCCTGCCTCAGCCTCCCAAGTAGGTGGGATTACAGGCGCCTGCAACCACACCCAGCTAATTTTTGTATTTTTTTAGTAGAGACGGGGTTTCACCATGTTGGCCAGGCTGGTCTCGAACTCCTGACCTCAGGTGATCCGCCGGCCTCGGCCTCCCAAAGTGCTGGGATTACAGGCGTGAGCCACAGGGCCCGGCCTGATACCCAGTTTTAAAACACTTGCAGCACCCCAAAGAGATTCCACAGGAGTACTTCCAATCAGTTTAGTCCCCACACCACTGGCAGCCTCAGGCAGCCGCTGAGCTGTGTCCTGCCACTAGAGACCTGCTTTCTGGATGTTTCACATCACAGGACTCACGCTCTGCGCCTCTCGCATCTGGCTTCTTGCACTCAGCAACTGGCCTCTGAGGCTGGTCTGCACTGGGGCGCGTGCTCTTTGGTCCCTTCATTGCAGAGTGGTGTTGCACTGCAGGGACGCACCGCATCCTGCTGACCATTCACCAGCTGACGGCCATCTGGGCCCTTTCCAGTCTTCTGACTGTGGACGATGCTGCTAGGAACACTCGCGCACAGGTTTCTGTGTCAACATATGTGTTCCGTCGTCTTGAGCAGGTACCTAGGAGTGGAATTGTTGGGTCATATGGTAAACTTATGTGTAACTTCTGAGGAAACTGCCAATGTGTATTCAAAAGGGGTGTCCCATCAGCATCCCTATCGGCCTCGCATGAGGCGTCCAGCATCTCCGAAACCTTGCAGCTCTGCTCTCGTGAGCCCCCTGAGCCTCCAGTGTGAACTGGAGCCTCACGTGGTGCCAGTCCGGAGACTAAAGATGTCAACCATCCTTCCAGTTTACTTACGAGCTATTTGTATACCTTGTGGTGAAACAGCTACTCATATTTCTTGTCCATTTTTAAAATTAGGTTGTACATCTTTTTATTAAGTTTTAAGAGTTCTTAATGTGAATATAAGCTGTTTATCAGATATTTAATATGCAAATATTTTCTTCCAGTCTGTAACTTTCATTCTCTTAATGGTGTCTTTGGAAGCGTAAAAGCTTTTAATTTCGACGAAGTCCAATCTGCAACGTTTTCTTCCAGGGATCCTCCTTTTGGTGTCGCATCAAAGAACTCTGCCCAATTCAAGGTCATGATAATTTTCCTTTATTTTCTTCTAGAAGTTATACACTTTCAGCTTTTACACTCAGGTCTATGATCCCTTTCCAGTAAATGTTGTCTGTGTTTCATTTTATTCCCCGATTATACGTCAGTGTCTCCACCTCTCCTTCCTCTGTCAGAAGACCGCCCTGCCTGCCCCTGTACCTGGCCAGTTCCCCTCCCCCACATTGAGCTTGGTGTTGCCTCCTGGAAGAACTCTTCCCTGAGTCCGTGACCTCCCCCAGCACGTGGGACCTCCCCCATCAGAGTCCTGACGACAGTGCGCTGTGATTACTCCACGACTTGTCAATTTCCCCGCTTGACAGAACTTCCCGTGAGGACAGAGACCAGGACTGTCATGATCACTGCTACAGCCCTAGCACCCAGCACAGCAACTGGCAAATGGAAGTGCCTATTAAACACATGAATGGGATTTAAAAACATTTCAGAAAATCCCAAGACACATTTTATAAAAATGGACAAAAGGGTAACCGTTAAGTGCTATTCGTAAGTGCAAAAATTAAGAACAGGCTGGGCGTGGTAGCTCGTGCCTGTAATCCCAGCACTTTGGGAGGCGGAGGCAGGCAGATCACTTGAGATCAGGAGTTTGAGACCAGCCTGGCCAATGTGGCAAAGCCCCGTCTCTACTAAAAACACAAAAATTAGCTGGGCATGGCGGCGGGTACCTGTAATCCCAGCTACTCTGGAGGCTGAGGCAGGAAAATTGCTTGAACCTAGGAGGTGGAGGCTGCAATGAGCTAAGATTGTGCCACGGCACTCCAGCCTGGGCAACAGAGCAAGGCTCTGTCAAAAAAAAAAAAAAAAAAAAAACAGAGAACATCCCAAATTCCAATGGCAAGGAAATTAATGGGTATGCAATTTTGAGATATCTTTATGATACACTTTGTTGAAGCAATTAAAATTGGATTTTCTCCAGAATTTGTAAAAGCATGAAGAAAAGCTTACATTATGTGGTTATGCAAAAAGCAACCTATAATACTATATATGATGTCATGTAATCTCAACTATTCAAATACCTATTTTTAAATAGGATGGATAAAACACTGGAAGGAAATATCACAACAAATCATTTATACTAATTGCTTCTGGGACTCATGAGATTTCTTTTTCTTTCTTCTTTATGTTTTCCTATAATGCTAAAAAACAAATAAGATCAAAACTATTTCTCAGAAGATAAGAGTTGGCTGAGCACGGTGGCTCACACCTATAATCCCAGCACTTTAGGAGGCCAAGATGGGTGGATTGTTTGAACCCAGGAGTTCGAGACCAGCCTGGGCAACATGGTGAAACCCCATCTCCACAAAAAATACAAAAATTAGCCAGACATAGTGGTGGGAACTTGTAGTCCCAGCTACTCAGGAGGCTGAGGTGAGAGGATCACTTGAACCTGGGAGGTGGAGGTTGCAGTGAGCCGAGATCACAACACTGTACTCCAGCCTGGGCAACAGAGTGGGACTCTGTCTCAAAAAATTAATTAATTAAAATATAATATAATATAAAAGTTTAATTAAAATTTCCCCCCCTCCCTTATTTTTTTTTTTGAGATGGAGTCTCGCTCTGTCACCCAGGCTGGAGTGCAGTGGCACGATCTCGGCTCACTGCAAGCTCTGCCTCCCATGTTCACGCCATTCTTCTGCCTCAGCCTCCCGAGTAGCTGGGACTACTGGTGCCTGCCACCACACCCTGCCAGCTAATTTTTTTTTTTTTTTTTAGTACAGATGTGGTTTCACCGTGTTAGCCAGGATGGTCTCGATCTCCTGACCTCATGATCCACCCGCCTCGGCCTCCCAAAGTGCTGGGATTACAGGTGTGAGCCACCACGCCCGGCCAAAATTCCCTATATTTTTAAGGGAATTCCTAAATTCCCTAATTTCGTTTTTCAAAAGAATTATGATTCCAAGGCTAATTTCACATTCTGTTCTGATCATGGTAAGAAAGATTTTAAGTTTGTTCTAATTCGTTTTAAGCAAAGCATATTGATGTTGCTTATCTTAAATAAATCCTTCACCTATATTCTAGTCATAAGAATTACAGGCTCTTTGTGCCATTAAAAAAAATATATATATATATATTTTATATAGGACCACAAAAAACCAATGATGCCTCAGAGCCACTCTGGTCTGTGACCCTCGTACACACTACCTGGGCAGAGAGGTGCTGATCTGTAGTCTTGGCAAAGCGGGAATGACTTCGACTGTGGAGCCACTGGTTTTTATTCCCGGTAGGTTATCCAGCAAACAGTCACTGAACACGCCGAAGACCGTGGTATGGTAACCTGGAACAGAAAATGAGCATCTTCACTCCACTGGCAAGGCTTTGGGTCTCACACCCACAGCCGAAGCAGTGCGAAGAGCACGAGGCTCCTCCTCAGAAGACCTGAGTTCCGCAGTTGCCCAGGGCCCGCCGGCGCTCACCCACACTCCGGCCCTCAACCCCGCGACCGTCACTGGCCTTGTAGGTGATGGGGAGGATAACAGCATCTGCATTCCTGTTTCACAAGGCTGGCCTGGGTCCAAATGAAAGACTATATAAGTGAAGGTCCTTGTAAACCATAAATGTCTCCTTAATAATCAGTATCTCATCCCTTTACTCATTTGCTTTTCAGATTTATCCATCTCTAAAACAAGAACGTTAATATTATTTCCCAGGACATAATGTGACTTAATGAGTATTTGAAAAATGTTTCAAACCCTTCTGTTGAAAGATGAAAGTTCACGAGCCAAATGTTATTGTAGCTGCTGCTGATAACGGCAGATGTGCTGTATGTGTATAAGCACCATAATTTAAGATTAGCAAATTTCCCATGTTAAAAAAAAAAAAGTTCACTGGTTAGATAAGCACTTGAAATTGTTTAAGCAAAGCTTTAAAATGGCTTTTGAAATTTCACAAGATAATTACTATAAACAACATTCACTCTATAACAAAATTAAACAATACCCCGTGGCTAGATGCCTAGGGTGACAACATTTTTGCATTCACACGAAACTATTCCACACTAAAAGGAGAGGCAGGCACTCCCTCAAGGGCAAATCAGGGACCTTACACAGCCTCAATCAGCCCTGCGCTCACCTCCTGCCAGCCTGAAGCTGCCCTATCAACGTAACTCCCATTCAGAGCAGCCACACTTCCTCTAAAGTATACCTCTTCAAAGACACCTTTAACTGGCAAACATTCTCCTCCCCAGAACCACATCTGGCACTAATGTCCTTTCTATAATACCTGGTATGACGTGGTTTTGTCTGCTAAGCAGCCATTGTTTTGCAATTCTTAATTTAAACCATTTTCCTTTTCTTACCCGTTGCTTAAAATAACTGCCATATAAACCCAAAAGTCTGCTGACAAATAGTACATTACAACGTCTGATAATACGAGGTCAGTCCTTTCAACTTGGTTCCCAAAGCGGGCCAAAAATGAACACTCCCTAGTGTGGACCCAGGATAAATAACTAAGAACTGTGTGACTAAGGCTCTGACTTCTCATCTGTGAACATACTAGCTACGGGTTACATGTTATTCGGAATTAAGCCCTTCACTCCTCATTACCCCTCTCTCATCTATTCATATCTCCTATGCTCCACTGCCAGGCCATGGCTATGGTCCTGCCTCTGTCCCTTTCTTCCTGGGTCATCGCTGAAGCTTGATCACTGGTGTCCCTGCCTCCAGTCCTTCCCATCTCAACCGGGGTCCTGGATCCTGAGGATGGCTCTGAACGGCCCACCCGACCACATCTCTCTTCAAGAACACAGCAGCCCCACTGCCCTCCAGAGAAAGCCGGCATCCTTTGGCACAGGGTGTAAGACCCCAGGTCGGCACTCTGCCTCCCTTCCAGCCTGTCTCATCCCTGCCACCCTGGCCTGGACCACCCACTCTGACCATCCCCCGGTCCCCCAAATGCACCATGTTCTCTCTTACCACCACGTTGTTCTTTCTGCCTGGAATTCTCTTTCTGCCCCCTGTGTACTCCCCCTACAGCCCAGCCCCATTCATTTGAATAGTTCCTAGTTCACCTTCAAGCCTCAGGGTCACTGACCAACCCACTCTCCCCACTGGGTCCATGCCCAGAGTCATCTGCTCCCACGGCCACTCCACTCCATCTTCCCACTTGGGGCAGCACACCCTCACCTACAATGACACCTGCTTCACCCACCCGTAGGGAGCACCCTTCCAGCAAATGTTTGCTCTTCCAGCCAACAAACACACACTGAAGACCTACTGTGTGCCAGGTTCCACACTAGGCATGGAGCTGCAGCTGAGCCAGACACACGGGGCCAGCAAGGAATCTATCGCACAGAATTAGGAAGGAGACCACCGACCAGGGGCCTAGACCAGCGAGCACACACCGAGGAAGCCTCCCGGAGGAAGGGAAGCCTGTGCTGAGGACTGAGAGAAGCCCAGGAGCCAGCCAGGGTGATGAGCACTCAATGCGGCACAGATAAAGCCTCAGAAAGCCTGGAAAACTGCCAGAACTAAAGAGTCTTCAGAGACTGAAGTAGGAACAGAGGGGCAGAGAGGAGGTTGCGGAGGCCAGCAGGCACCGGACCACAATGGGCTCCAGAGCTACACTTAAAGACCGGGCCTTGATAACACGGGCCTGGCGACAGCTGCGAGGCTCCCAGTTGAGAGATGTCAGGAGCAGATTCCCACTAGGAAGATTGCTGGGCCACAGATGGGAAGTGGGTCTATTAGCAAGCAAGACCAGGGCAAAAACACCAGCCCCAATGCTTTTCTGACAAACCCTAGAAGAGTTATGATCTGCAAGACAGGAAGGGGCAGTGGAGGTGGAGACAAGTGGCAGTTCTCAGGAAGCACTGAGGGAGGGGACGTGGGGGTGCTGTGACTGACAGCGAGGGTCGAGGATGACGCATATGGGTGATGGGGATGCCTGCGCTGAGATGGAGGCTTGACGGGGGCAGGGGCAGCTTTGGGGAGGCAAGGTAGGGAGTTCTGGTTTACACCTATGGTATGAGAGGTGCCCAGGAGCCAGCTGGGAAGGGCTGGAGGTGCAGGCTGGGAAAAAGCCCAGCCCTGGAAATCATCTGCACATTGGAGGAACTGGAAGACACGAAGGTCAAGGGCATTGGTGGGATCACCTAAGGTAGCCTGTGGAAGAGAAAGAGTTAACAGGGCCAGGGAACACAGGATGAGGGGTGGGGAAGGAAAGAAGTGGGGTGTGAGGAAGGCCTGGCTGAGAGGGGTGGGCTGCAGAAGACAAGAGAGACCCAAATAGAAAGGCCAGAGAGGCGGTAAAACATCCGGAGGGGCAGGGCCACAGCAGCCAGAGCAGAGGCGGTAAAGCATCCAGAGGGCGGGCTCACAGCAGCCAGAGGAGAGGGCATGCCTAGTGGAGGGTCAGCCAGGGACTCAAAGGGCACTGAGGAGCGAATTTAGGGGAAAAAACCTGAAAAGTAGGCCCTGGATTTAGCCCAAAAAAATACTGCTTGTGACAGGAGTTTTGGTGAAGTGAAAAGGGCTGAGTCCAGGATGCAGAGGGTTAAAGCCCCCTGCAGAAGCGGAGATTCAGCGTGTGTAGACACCCTCTGAGGAGTTCCGGCGAGAAGGAGCAGGAAGAAGGAAGGCTCACTGGAGGGAGAGGAAGCAGAGGGAGGAAGGGCGTGGGCAGTAGGGTCAGAGCACAGGAAGGACCCCTCCCACCACCACACATCCTGCACCTCACGAACAGGTTTTTTTCATGCTTCCTGAAGAAACACGGTCTTCATTATCTTCTAACTGGTTAGGACTGGCAGGACGGGCGATCGGCTCTGGACCTCACGGAGGCCATGCAAGGGTGCAGCAGACCCTCCTGAGCGGGAACCATGAAGGGACTCTCCTTACCGTTCACAGTGATCGTTCCAGTCGTCTGCGGGACCCCGACGAGCGTCACTGGGTACAGACCAGATTCAGCCGGAAGAGAAAGCGCCGCAGGGAGAGACTCAAACTCCACTCCGCTGGTGAGCAGCCCCTAAAACGAGCCACGCGGCACCATGAGCCCGGACCAAACCTACTGTGCGCTCAGTTCCAAATGCGCCTTAAGACACTGGCTATGGCACATCTGGAACTGCTGGAAGAAAATGACCAACAGCCTTTATAGAAACCCACAGAGAACTTCAGAGACAGCGAACAGTGTAACGCAAAACCACCTAAACACGGTAGGCACGGCGGGGGCTCAGGCGATAAACCACAGAGCCACTTGGTTTTAGCCCTGTTTGCTGTATGTTTGATATTTGTTTTATCATTTTACCAAATGGGAATGTGAACACAAAGAGAAAATATTTTATTTATAAACAAAAATAAATAAAAACTTGACTGGGCATGGTGGCTCACGCCTGTAATCCCAACACTTGGGAGGCCAAGGTGGAAAGAACACTTGAGTCCAGGAGTTCAAGACCAACCTGGGCAACATAGTGAGACCCCATCTCTACAAAAAAATTTTAAAATTAGCCGGGGAAGGTGACACGCACCTGTGGCCCCAGCTACTTGGGAGACTGAGGTGGGATGATCACCCGAGCCCAGGAGGCTGAGGTTGCAATGATCATACCACTGCACTCCAGCGTGGGAGACAGAGTGAGATTCTATCTCAATCAATCCATCAATACAATGTGGAAATATGCCACGAGTTAATATCCCTGCCATACATCTATGAGTTATCAACTTATTTCAGTATGTACTAAGCTTGCTAGTGCAGGCACTAAGCTTGCTAGTGAACAAGACGGGCAGATTCCCTGGCCTCAAGACGGTGGCCCATGATTGGAAGCAATGCAGGTATGTCGGCCCTCAGGACTTCTCAGCATTGTAATAGAGGTCCTACTCAGGGCACTAAAGCAAGAAAAAGGAAGAAAAGGCATAAAGGCAATTACTCACAGAAAACAAAACCAGGGTCATAGAATACGCTATGGAATCTACAATGAAACTTGAACTTTCTAGTACATTTAGCAAAGTGATACAGTCAGAAAAAAAAAAAAAAAGGAGTTATTTCTATAGTTTAGCAATAAACAATTGGGGAAAATATCATTAACAAGCGATCAAAACCATCAACTATATTAGAAAAAACCTAACAAATGACGGGCAAGGTCTCACAACAGTTACAGAACACTGCAGAGATAAAGAAGCCCTGGGCGAAGGAGGAAATCCTGGATTCTTCTTAGCGGGTTGGTTTTCTGCAGCGGTATGGTCAAAGCTACCCTGCAACTCTCTCAGATAGGACAGGACTGAGCATCTGAGTAGATGTGCTGATGCTGGGAGTCCGAGTCTCACTCGGGAAGAAATGACACACGTGGATGGAGGAAGGCAAGCACCCTCTGGAGAAGCACTGGAAAGCAAGGGCAGATGCTACATGCATGTCTGTGGTGCAGACGCAGGGATAGACACATGTGTACATATATGTAGGCATATGGGCTTAGATAGATATGTGCGTTCTCATGTATGTGTATATGCATACAGACTCTTCCTAACTCTGTCTACAGAAAGCACCCAGAAGCAAAGCCACTCTCTCGGCAGTGAGTACACTTAGTGCCTGGACTTGGAGCCAAGGTGTGAAATGATCTATGTGTGGAACAGATGTAGCAGGCAAGGGTGGAAGCCGAGGAGCCAATTGTCTCTAGGCAAATATATTGGCATTTATTTCCTTTGAAAATAGCTAAAGCAATATGGCCAACTGTGAACATTTTTTAAATGTGAATGGTGGATATGCGCGTGTGTAGTATTCCCTGTAACATTTGGTATGTTTAAAATACTTCCTAATTTAATTTTTAAAACTTTGCCCATGAGTTGTGGGCTATCTCCATGTGGTGCTTTTTATTTTATTCCCTGCTCTTCCTCATTTGTTATAATAAGCACATATTGTTTTTAAACCAGATAAAAATGAAAGCTACATTTTAAGACCAAAAAAAAAAAAATGTGTAAGAAAGAGCAGCAGGCATTTGATACTTTAACCACTTTGGGGAAAATTCTCTAAACTGCTTCTCCCTACTAAGGCTGAGACAGAAAGCCACAGGAAAGGCCTAAGCCAAATCGTACTGCAGGTCAGTCCTCACCCAATGGAAGGAGAAACACTCCTCCCAAGTGCACCTCAAGACTACAAGCTGAACATCCAGCTGAGCTTCCAGGAGCTTCCAGGAGTTCCAAGCTGCAACTCAGCCTGTACTCATGGCCAGGCTGTCACATCTGTCCCAGGAACCCTTCCCTGACTCTCCAGGGCCAGGCAGACTCCCCTCCACATCAGGCCTGCAACACCTCGTGCACCCCAACAGAGCCTTGATCACAGTCGCAGCAGGGACCAGGGCCTGACCATCTCTGTCCCCTCAGGGCCTTGCCTGGGGCCTGACGCGTGGCAAGAGCACTCAGCAAAATACCTGCACGAAGAGTCTGCCTCTTAGCCTGAACACCGGTCATAAAAGCCTAAAAGACAACGTCCACTCTCGCCGCACCATCCTTGGCGCGCTGCTGAAAAGTTACACAGCAGCACCACACAGCAAGGCAGAGAAGACTCGAGGGATGCAACCTACATTGGCGTGGGGAGGGTCTGTTCTGAAAACACAGAATCAGCTTAGAGGGCCAGTACAAATCTCCTTCCCCCTGACTAGAGAATTGGGTAAGCATTTCCAACAGAAGAGATTACAAAGTGAATCTTTCACACCCTACACAAAGCATAGAAACGGGATATCAGGATTTCAAAACAAGAGAAAGCTGATGATGGTGGTGTGGTCATTTATCCTCCCATTCCACAGCTTGTTCTTCCCCGGGGCCTTGATCATCTTATCATCCTGCAGCGATAAAATAATGCTGATATCATTGAGTAGCAGGCATAACGTGGACTTTGCAACCTCAACTCATCTCATGTAAGCTTCAAAATGATTATTTCACATCTTATACCCAATCAGCTAAGCTCGGTATGTGTTCAAATCAGAGGTTTCTTTGTAGGTTCAAATATGTATTGAGAATCAAGCCTAAAGACACAGGAATAACGAAACATGGTCTTCATTCACAATAAGCTTATATGCTTTGGCAAAACAAACATAAAAAGAGACACATATCATAAGATGTGTGCCTCAGACATTAAGTAAAAACCTGCTTTAATGAGAAGTTTGTGTGTTAGCCCAACAAGATCAAATGATGGGTGATACATACCATGTTTTCAACCCGAAGTTCAAACGGCATTGGGTTATACACCATCAGCTGAACTTCACACACATCTCCTTGAACCCACTGGAAATCTAGAAAATACATACACACACATCAACAAATCCATGTATTTGTTGGCATTTTTTCACTTTCTACATGGTTTCCAATTATTCCTCTGGCAATTTATATTCTCAACGAGGCAGCAGGCTCTATGATCATCTTGAGATGGGTGAGTCAAAGCTGCTTTTTCCACCGGCTTTCTCTGAAACAAAGCAAGGCAGCCGTCACTGGCGCTTTGATGCCACATGAATGGCGCTTGTCGCCACCTTCAGCGGGCTGCATTCATGCCAGCATCTGTCCAGATGGCACTGTTCTTGGTACAGAGCCATAAGGCACACCACGCTTCACGGGGCCCAGAGGCTGGCAACACAGGAAGATGGTACTGGGGTCACTTGTGAGTAACACGGAGTGTGATTTGCTCTACTCCCCGAAGATTGTGGGGAGGCGGGGGGCTTCTCCTCCCCACCCACTCCCAAGTAAACTGCAGTTCAGTACCTGTGCAGGGGCAGAATTCTGATGACCTCCAAAACCCCCAGCCTTGGTGTGCACAACCTGGTGTGCATGCACGGTGTAACCCCACTTTCAGTGTGAATATGATTAGGCTGGATTGTAAAACAAAGGTGGAAAGATTTTACAGATGTGATTGGGACCCCAATCAGTTGACTCCGAGTTAATCAAAAGGAAGGTTGTCCTGGACGGACTTGTTCTAATCAGGTGAGACCTCACAGGAGACCACGGCCTTTCCTAGAGGGCCTGTGGAGGGGACCACGTGGCAAGGGCCTAAGAGCAGTCTCTAGGAGCTGAAAGCAGCACCAGCAGACAGCGGGGAACTGAGAGCAGCACCAGCAGACAGCCGGCGAGAGAACGGGGACCACGGGAAATGAATGAAGAACCACCTGAGGAGTCGTGAAAGCAGGCCCTTCCCTTAGTTGAGCCTCCAGATGAGGACACAGTCCCAGATGACACTTGGATTTCAGTCCTGTGAATCCCTGAGCAGAGGACCCAGCCGAAGCCCACACAAATCATGAGGAAGTAGATTTGTGTTGTTTTAAGCTACTGAGTCTGTGGTCATTTGTTACAAAGCAACAGAAAGCTAATTCAGCATCTGTCCCAATTTCCATCAACCCCTCCTCCCTTTACAATCCTCTCTTAGGCAAACCCGAAGGAATTTCAGAATCAATCAACAGGTGGCAGGCATGTGTTAGGTGTGAGGCGCTTCCACACAAGTTATCTCATTACTCAGCATAACGACCTCCTGAGACAGGTATGATAACCCCTATCACTGCAAGGCAAACACTCAAGGTCCAAACAGGGTAATAAATTGGCCCAGGAACCACACAGCAAGCGAGAGAAGCTGCTGGATTCAGGCCTCTGAACTCAGAGGCATCCCAAGCAGACATGGGTGGCTAACAGGGCGGTGGAGGGCTTTTTCTCTAGCAGTAAGAAAGTCTGTTGACCGGAATTATTCAACTTTCACAGAGCTTTCATAAGCGTGTTCTCAAGACACAGCTTTTTCCACACACTCTGCACCAAGCACCCTGCAAAGAGATGAGGACTGACTCCACCACACCTATGACATCTGACCCAGAGCTGGCATGTTGACATTGCATGAATTAATACAGCATCCACCTGGTAAGCTAACAGCTCCCCTAATGCTTGCACCAACATGTACTCACCTGAGCCTCTGGACAATGCAGTGAATGGCTACAGTCTATGTCAGCAATACAAATGTTTTGCCCGTTCTGCAAAAAAGGAGAATCCCCCTGACAGGCTGACCCGCCTGCCCGTCCTATGGTCCTGGGAAGCAAGAGAACTGAGAATCGAACTCCAGTCTGTCTGGCTCCAAAACCTACGCTCTTTTCACCCTACTGTTTCACCTCTCAGGACTCCGGAAACTCAGGTCTTGTCCTTCCAGCTTCCATGTCATCCCAGCTCATGCCAGCTTCCATGCCTCCCACTTTCTAGGCCCACCAGCTTCTGAGGACCTTCAGTGGCGGGGGGCTCATCCGACCTCCTCATTCATATAAGTCAGTGGCCAGAGCACAACATGCTCCCACGCCACCTGCCCCCGGCCTCACCCAGCCTGCCCGGGGCCACTGATGGTCAGCATCCCGGCCCACTCCTCACCACAAATGAAGAAGGTCACTCTCTTTAAACAAGTGGCTAATGCCTGGCAATTAAGAAATTGCTTGCCCTATCATGGTCATGATGATGATGATGATAATAAGCCATTTAAAAAATCACTTTCTGGGGTACTGAAAAAACATGTATACTTAGATGGTCCATGTCTACTAAAGGGTAAATCTAAGACAAATCGTTGATTACATAAAAATTTATTTTTTTTCTTTTTTTTTTTCTTTTGAGACGGAGTATCACTCTGTACCCAGGTTGGAATGCAGTGGTGTGATCTCGGCTTACTGCAACTTCCACCTCCCGGGTTCAAGCAAGTCTCCTGCCTCAGCCTCCAAAGTAGCTGGGACTACAGGTGTGCACCACCATGCCTGGCTAATTTTTTTTTGTATTTTTAGTAGAGACAGGGTTTCGCCATGTTGGCCAGGCTGGTCTCAAACTCCTCACCTCAACTAATCCCCCTACCTTGGCCTCCCAGAGTACTGGAATTACAGGCATGAGCCACCACGCCCGGCCTAAAAAGTGATTTTCGCTGAAAGAAGGAGATAACCCCTTTCCACCCTCAGCATGTCAAAGCACACGCTGGTGGCCCTTCCTCACTATTTTGTCCCAGAAGTAGTGGGAAGGCACAAGAATTAGCGTCTCTGAAACGCCCTCGTCTCAGGCCCTGCCCTCCCTGTTGTGGGACACACTGTGCCTGCTGTCATCTGTGGACACACAGCATCGGGTGGTGGCGTTTATTGACAAGTTCGTCTCTTTCTGCTACACTGTATGGACCCACATGGCGGGAAAGACTCCTGATTTATCAATGCATCCCCAGCACATAGCACAGGGCATGTAACTGCTACCAAAAATGTTACTGAATCGCTGCCAGGGACTTTAGAAACATTATCTCCCTTGATCCTCAGAACCACCCTCCGTGTCAGCTTCTAATGTCCCTATTCCATAGAGGGCATGACTGCAGACCACACAGGCGTGATCAGTTGTCCACAGCCACACAGTGGGGAGCTGCAGGGCCAGGCTGCAGCCCAAGTCCACCTGACAGCCACAGCCTCTCCAGGCCACCACACTGCCTCTGGGTCAGCAGTGGACCTTGGCACCAAGCCTGGCAGCACCACAAAGACCTATCACAAATGACAGAAGGCCTTCAAGCCAACACACTCAAGCTGAGGCTGGTGTTGCAGCCATCTTCGCATGGATGTAGCTCAGATGATGGCCACACCAGCCAACACACACAGACTCGGGAATTATTCCGAGTGAAAGTGGAAAATGGTCTCAAACGCTGCCCTCGAGAGTTTCCTCATCTCTAGGACCCGATGCCCCCTGCTGTGATGAGACCTCCCCCAATTATACACCAAGGTTCATTGAGAGACACTGGAACTTTAGGTTAAAGTTATGGGATCTGTCAAGCCTCTGGGCAAGCACTCACTGATCAGTACACTGCCAAAAAGATATTAGAAGCTATGGGATGCCAACTACACTTTCCTACCACACAAGTGTTATAGCTCAGAAAAAAAATCCTACATCATCCACTGAATTCGCCCTCAGCCCAGATGAGCAGGTACTCTTACTACAGTGAGAAGCCATATTATAAGGGGAAAAGGCCCTGGGCATCGAGTCCTGCAACCTGGCATGGCGCCTGGGGGCTGTCACTGACAAACTGTCTGACCTGGAGCAGGTACTTACATTTGTTCAGTCTTAATTTTCTCATCTGCAAATAGGGAATATAATGACACCTGCAGCATCAGCATCAAAAGTTTTGAGAATCACTGGATGATGTTTGCTTAAGCCCTCTTCAACAAATACAGACTGTAATTTTCATAAAAAGAATGCTCAACAATGTCTTTTTATTTGTTTTTTGAGATAGGGTCTTGCTCTGTCACCCAGGCTGGAGTGCAGTGGTGCAGTCTTGGCTCACTATAGCCTCAACCTCCTGGGCTCAGGTGATTCTCCCACCTCAGCCTCCCAAGTAGCTGGGACCACAGGTGCCCGCCACCAGGCCTGGCTAATTTTTCGTATTCTGTGTAGGGATGGGGTTTTGCCATGTTGACCAGGCTAGTCTCGAACTCCTGGGCTCAAGCAATCCACCTGCCTCAGCCTCCCAAAGTGCTGGGATTACAGGCGTGGGCCACCACACTCGGCCAACAACTTCTTAAGATTGAAAAGGAAAAGCAGAGAGGCAGGGCTTGCAATCCATGCCATCAGTGGCACAGGGCCCTGTGCTCTGGCATCTGGTTTGACGCTCTGCTGTTATTGTCTTCAAATTCTCAGCGATGTTTGAACAAAGGCCCTGTGTTTGCATTTTGCACTGGGCCCTACAAATCATATGGCCCATCCCGAGAAGGGGAGTCTCACACTTCCAGTCTCCTAAATCACCTCTAGAAGTTTTTCTCAACAAAAGGACTGAAGCTTTCCTCAAAAGTTCTGTAGGGGAGATAGCTCATCACCAACCCTGATGAGAACAGAAAAGAGCAGCCAGAGACTCTAGAAGGTCCCGGGGGAAGAGCCTCAGCACTCATAGGACAGCGAGTCCTGGGCCAGGGGAGACAGAGGAGCCCTGAGGGTGGCCCGCCCATCCCCACAGAGCTCAGAAGATGCCCTCCAGAGAGGAGAGGTGGAGTTCCCTCAAGAGGCCAGGAAACAACGTCCCCAAAACACAGCGAGGACGGGATTTGTACAGCTCTCTCCTGCTTACTGCAACACACGCTGGAGCATATCATATGGGGCCGCCATCAGGCCCTGCCCGTTCATGCACCACATCCACCCAGTGCCTACGCTTCCTGTCACCTCGTGTTCTCCAGAGCAGAGAAGCAGTGGCAGGAAAGACAAGATTGGGGTGTCCTTCAGAATCAATAGACTAAAAATGGCATTTTAAAAATGCATACACACACACACACATGCATACACACACTCATACACACAGGCATACACACAATACACACACGCATATGCACAATACACACACACATGCACACATACATGCATAAACACATACACACATGCATACACACACATACATGCATACACACATACACGCATACACATACATACACACACACACACACATGCATACACACAAATTCTACAGTAGACTATATAGTTAGCACTCAGGTTTTCATAAATTTTCCGAAATTCAGAATTGGCTGCACTTTTTCAAGGGCATGACCCCAGGTCTCTCTATTTTCTTCTCATTCTAACAATGAACAGCTAGAACAGCTGGAGCTGCTCCTTGCAAAGCCCACACGGCTCCTCCGAGGGAGGCTGCGTCTGAGCCTCCAGGGGGCTTCCCCAGGGTGTGCGGGGCCCCACCCCACACCCCACTCCCAGTTAGCCCAGTGTTTATTGTTCATTCAAGTTCAATGTGTAAGTAACCAGGTACCCTGCTGACAGGTGTACATTTTTAGAGACCTTTAGTTCACATTTAGTCTCGATAGTCAGCTTCTCATGTTTGTGTCTTGCCTGCATGAACTGCATGACTGTGGGGTCCAGGTAGCAGGTCTCTCCCACACCCTCTATGCACGTGAGAGGAAACCAGAGGGTGCTCACAGGAACAGGACACTTGGTCTGTGATGTGAAATCAAGCTTGTCACTAACTAACTGAGTAACTTTCAGTTACTTCTAAAAGTCATTTCTCTGAGTTTGTTTCCTCATCTGTAAAAGGGAGATAAAAATGAAATCTTCCAAAACTACTGGAAACTCCGTAAGGCAACATATGATAGCCTCAACGTATGATAGCACCGTTTGAATAAAAGAAATGAGGACCATTTTTAAAAGCACAAGGTTCTTTGAGTACTCCCTCCCTAGTTATGCCCTTTATCTTAGCAAACAACCTTATTTCTTCTGAAGCACTTTATTTTTTAAGGCATTCAGATAATTTACAAATAGTTAATGGAGTTTATCATGAGACCCTTACAGAAGCTAAGAAATCCCAGAGCTAGTAATATACGAGAAATGCTCATCAAGACAATGTGCTGGCTGGACACAGAGGTCCCCACCTATAACCCCAGCTCTCTAGGAGGCCGAGGCAGGCAATTCACTTGACCCCAGGAGTTCGAGACCAGCCTGGGCAACACGGTGAAACCCCGTCTCTACAAAAAATACAAAAATGAGTGGGTATGGTAGTGTGCACCTGTGGTCCCAGCTCAGGAGGCTGAGGCAGGAGGATCAATGGAGCCCAGGAGGCTGAGGCAGCAGTGAGCCCTAATTACACCACTGCACTCCAGCCTGGATGACAGAGCTAGACCCCGTCTCAGAAAAAGAAAAAAAAGATTATGTGCTACATGTAATGCTCTTCTTATTGTCCCTTCTGCCTTGAATTCTGCCATGCCCTGCCAGCAACACGAAACGTACAGTGAGATCTAGGTTCCCCTGTGAGTTCTTGGACAAGACACTTAAACGTCCTGAATCAGTTTCCCTGTCTACAAAATCTATAAAAAGGGATTCATAATAGGTACCCCATCCATTCATTCATTCTTCTGTCACTGCTCCAGCGGTTGGGGAGACAGCAGCCGCACACAGCCTGACAGAATTCTGGCTTCAGGTGATAGACTGCGGGGCAAAGCATCAATGGGCCAGTGTGGATCTGGGCTGGAGAAAGGCGGGGAAGAGAATCCCGGGCCAGTGTGGATCTGGGCTGGAGAAAGGCGGGGAAGAGAATCCCGGG